TCCCGTTGTTTCACTCTTTGCGTCGCGCACATTGACACCTTGTGAATGTTGCACCTATGCTGCTGGTTGTTGCCACTTTCGTCATTGCTAGATCCTAGGCTTTCAGTGCATTTCACTTTCTGATATGTTACATCCAGACACTGCGGGAAGTACCGGGAGCAGAGATGGAATGGTGGGCGCCAAAACCGGCGTGGGCCTTGTTGGAAATACCGACGCCCCTAACTGTTCGAGAAGGCTGGTACCCTGTGCCATCCTCCGTCCCGAAACATGTGGAACAGCCCAGTACCTGGGAACGGGCCAGTACCATTCATGACTCAAGTGCCTCAATGAAACTACCGCCCTGCCATTACTGCAGGCCTGAGTTTCATACACCTTTTTGAACTCAGGCTTGCAGAGGCCTGTTTTTTTTGCACATTTGCAATGACTTGCTGTTTTCTGGTCGCCTGTAGCCTGTAGCATCTCTCTGTCGAGGCTGTACTATAGGTAGGACAGATTCGTAATTTTGTTTGGCTGAGGGCTAACCGAGAGACCTACCTGTGAGGGAAATTCTTGAGGGACATATCTGCAAATCCGAGAAATTACAGGCCCGGTACTAACTTGATTCCCTACAGCTACCCTAATTGCGGATAGCAGGCCCGGGCTACCCCTAGACAGACAGGCCCTATGGGCCTATTCTGAATAGACGGTCCTATARCCTATAGCCGGGTCCGGTAGAGGCCGAGAGGCCGAAACAGATACGGTACTTGTCGGTCAGTGTGGGTCGGTGTAGGCTAGAAGTAGGATGGGGACATCGGTTCAGGGCTTTTGGCAGTTGGTACCGCGTACATCGCTGCTGCGCTGCGTGTGAACCGGAAGTGGTGACGGTTCAGCGTGGAAGGGGACGGACATAGCCAGACCTTCGGAGCACAGGCCATAGCTGGGGCCTGCGCTGTACTCTGCCAGCACGTAGGGGCTGACAGAGGTCTGGGTTATTGGGGTCTGATGGAGGCGAGAGAGGTTGGTGCCCTGCTGGACCCTCCTCCAGAGTGGGGTCCCAGAGGGTCTGAGCTGCAGCCATAGCTGCAGCTCTCCATCTCAGAGGTCATCCTGTCAGGGTTTGGTGGCGCTGCTGCAGGCTTCCACCCGGGAAGCCTCCCGACACTTCGTCATCATCAGATACTGTGGCGCTGGTCTTCTTCTTCATCCTCTGAGTGGCGCTTGCCCTCAGAGGCCTGTTTCAGGGTGGCGCTGCCCCCAGGAGGGTGGATTTGGGTGGCGCTTGATGTTTCAGGGCCCAGGGGGTGTTACGGGTGTCTATCAGGGTTGGAGAGTGAAGCGCTGCTCAATTCTGAGCAGCGCACTGTAGTTCTGAAGTGATCCTAACATTTCGAGACTCTGAGTTTAATAAACAGTGTATAACTGTGTTTGGACTATCATCGTTTCATTGGTTCCTGGATGTGATCTGCTCGGCTTTTCTCTATGACTGGTTGTGAGGATTGAATGGAGTGAATTGCACTTTCAGTGTACCCTGTCATATCGCATGGACAAGTCTTCCGCTGTGTTTATCTCTCCCTGTGCGGTGTGATACTCCTATCCTCTCCCCTTCCTTCTGTGTGTGTATGGGCATGTGCGGAAGTTTATGTGAGTGAGTGTTGGCCTTCAGGCAACGTACAACCAGAATCATAACACATTCAAAACTCGAAGGTGACATAAACGAACTTGCTGGCTTCAGGGGCGATCAGGCAGGAATGTATTTGAAAATCTAGCCTCCTTGTGCACAGCGGCAATTCTTGATTGACTGAACTGGTGGTTAAGGAGACCGCCCAAGCCCAATCAATCCAACCTGTCTGTCCTAGCCCATCCCGCTCACCCCTGCCCCATGGTGCCCAGCACTCCCAGCCTATGCCCTGTGTAGAAGGCTGGAAGCTGAAGATGCTTCATGGCCCCTACCCACATCGCAACACATGCAGACCCACCCCCCCTCCTCCTGACTCCACCACCTACGTATCACAAGACATGCCGACCAATCCCCCCTGGCTGACTGAGTCCACCGCCACAGAGGGCAATCAATGTTATCTGCCAGGCGCTCATTGTTCCTCTAGTCGCTAGACCAGGTTTCCAGCAGGTGCACCTGCCCATCAGTGGATTGGAGCCATATGATCAGGAGCAGACCCCACTTATGACGGATGTCATTACGACATTCAGAAGTTGGCACTGCCCCAAGGGACATTTCTATTTTAAAAAAAAGAGGAAAAAGGAAGAACCATAACCTTCCGTACCTTTCTCGGCCTTTTGGCTAAAATCGAGTGTAGTATGATACTAGTATCTGTTCAGATCAGTTTAAACCACCGGTACACCCGAGCCTGGCGGTGATGCACTGCCTGCCAAGCTTTGCCAAACCGCCAGCAGCACACTTTTTTCTTTTTGGCTGGTGCTGCCAGCCAGTGGTCCAGAAGCCCCGATCCGCCAAAATTACTGTAGGCAACGAACTTCTTTTTCTGCAAGGCTGGGGTCGTCCCCCGGGTCACAAAAAGAAAAAAGGACCATAACCTTCCTGGACCCAATCGCAAGTACGTACTCAGCGATTCCCCACAGCTAAAGCTTAAACCGCCAGTACTTGGAGGCTTCCTTCTGCCAAAGCGGATTTCCCCCTGCCTGCCAAAAACAAAGGAGCTAGCTCGGGAGCTTTCTGGCTGGTGCCACCGGCCATTTCGCTCCGGTAGGCTGAGCCCTAAAAGTCGTGGTGCGTGCATGGCCACGTCGGAGAAAAATGGCTGGGAAAAGTACTGGTGGTTTTAAGGTAAGCATTAGGTAGGAGCCCAGGCCTACCAGAAGCTCAATCCAGTAGTCAACCGTAAGTTTTAACGTGCTGAAAGTATGACCACGAGATTTTCAGAATCTTTTCACACCCCATGGCCCTGAACAGCGAATGCCCGAAAACTACTCTTTCCAGCTGCTATCTTAAACCACCAATGCTTCAAGAAGTCGTGGCAGCATGCGCGCCGCAACGTGCTGGGGTGAATGGACCACGGGAGCTCGCATAAATTCGTTCAAGTGGAAATGTCGCAGCACTGTAGCAATGGCTGGCCGCATGCCGCAACTTCCGGAAGAGTACCGGTGGTGTAATATCCCCGCCCCTCCCACCCGAACATAACTCCCTACAATCATGAAGCACTAGAAAGATCCAAGCAGCCATTGTTCACATGAACCATACCTTTTTTCTTTTTTTTTTTACCGTACCTTCCATCACTCGTGCCGATTTTGCCTGCTGAGCATAACTGAAAGTAACAGTGACAACCACCACAAAAAATAATGCCAACCCCAAGTACAACTGCAAGCAAGCATGGAACATAAAGGATTGATTTGGCAGGGTGAGGTCGAAGAGGAGGGGGGAGGGGGGGGGAAGAGGGGAGCACAGAACAAACAGCCAGCAAACCAGAAAAGGGGGACTCGTTAATATATTTCTCTCGCTGAGAGCTATCAATGCCTTATTTATTTATTTATTTAAAATTATTTATTTATTTATTTATTATTTTTTATTTTTTCTTAAAGCCCATATGCAAGGAAAATGAGCAGTAGCGAGATGACAATAACCAGAATACACAATCACATTGAAGGCCAGATAGTACCACAGTGTCCGGAAAGCAGAAATGCACAAATATAACACCAATGAAGATTCGTAACACTGAAAACCAAACTTGCAAGCAGACGGACTTGTTACATGCACAGATATGTGATGTTTGTAATGACCGAGGAACTGCAATGTGACGAAAAGGACTGAAATGGACAATGCGGTGAGAGTAGAATCTCGACAGACAATGTGCATTCTCATACGTACAAAAGTGCTGAATAGCGCAGGGAAGACTTAGATACAAAGACTGACCTGACAAGGACTGACCTCACACA